TTTAAGGATGTTTGCTACACAATTGGTGCAACATTCAGCTTATGAATCAAGAAACTTATGGACTCAGAATATCGAAGCTTATCGACTGCAGAGTTGTATTTAAAGGAGAATCCTAACCTAATGTAATTTAAGTTTTCAACAATTGTAAAATTAGGGAAGCATAAGTCTTGTGTTTTTACAATATCTTGTGTAGTTTGTAAGTTACCCAGGTATCTTTGGATACTATATGGTCGACTGATTGTTACTCAAGTTATATTCTTACTCAAAATCCTTTAGGTAATAAGTTGAGTATTATTCTTACTCGAAGCTTTTAAACAAAAGTTTGAGTATTTGTATTTGAAGTGTAATCTTCTAAATTGAGTTGTATTTGTTGCAGTCACTGGGATTGAGACTGTTAGATATCACTGAAGTGATTTAAGGAGCGAGATGACGATTTCTCATATTTAGAAGGTTCCTAATTAGAAGTTGGATTGGGTAGGATTAGGTGAGAAGTTGTAAACGAGGGAGTTTAGCTTTAAATTAATACTGTTCATAGTGGACTTACTTCCTGACTTGATAGCTCCATAGTAGGCGATGTTGCACCAAATTAGGTTAACAACTCTATGTGTTATTTATCATTCTGCAGTTTTATTTCTGTATCACTTATAGCTTAATTAATTTGGTCTGCTACCAGATCTTGTAACATCTATCATAACATCATTTTGATGTTGGGATGTATGTATGTTGCATGTACTAAAATTTCACATTATAGTATTTATAAAAGATAAATATAGTACTTAAAAAAGCATTATTTTAAAATAATATATATTTTTATTTTAGTTATAATAAATAATATGATTTTTTTTAAATTTTTTCTTAATTAAAAAATTTTGTTTAGGGCCGGGCTCGGGTAGTGATTTTTAGACCCATATTACAACATGGCTTTTTTGGCCCGACTCTAAAAAGCCAAGGTCCTCCAAGACCAACCCGTTTATGATCGTGTAGCCCATTTTGACAACTCTACTCAGGTGCCTCAAATGTCTGAGGTACCTCCGATGATTCAGGCACCTCTGCTGCTTGAATAGGTGAACTATGTCGCCTACGGGAAGATAGAGGCATGGGTGCATGAGGAGGGGACCCTCGTCTCCTACGGGAAGAGGAAGAAGAATGTAGAGATACACGAGCTCCAGAAGCTAACGTCTCCGCATCAATCGGGCTAGAGGTAATATGAGTATGCGATGATTGACTCTTTTCCCTCTGAACAGATGCATGATGTGCAATCATGCCGTGTCTCAGGCGGTCTTGTCTATCAGCCGTAATTATTGTAAGTAAACCACACTACAAGCGTTACACAATGATTTCAATCCAAAATAGGCAAAAAGTGAAGACTGATACACTACGAAGATGCATCTTCGATTTTTGAGTTTCTAAACATTGTAAAATTCTAGAGATGTATCTTTAAAATATTCTACAACTCTCACCATCGTCAATGGCGGAATGCAGACCTCCAAATCATCAAAAATAGTGCATTGATCGTAAAAACTACTTATCTAAATCGTTTCTCATTAAGTATAAGCTATCAAACATGTATAGTATACTTATTTCATAACATAATAATCAACTCCTACAAATTTATACAAAAATTCAATAATACAAAAAATCAATGACTTATAAATAATTGCTTGAAGTTGGTTGGTTGGACTTGATGTTGATGGAGGAAGTTTTGAAGTTGTTGCTGAATGTGATTTGAGAGGGTTTGAGAAAATGTGTTTTTTAGAAGTGAGAAAGGAGAAGGGGTTCTAGCATGTTTTTGAACAAATAACGTTTGGAGATGCACCTTCGTAATATATACGAAGATGTATTTCTGTAATATTTTTCTTTTGAGTTAGAGACTGATTAAAAAATACATTGAATTTTAGTGTGTTTGAAGATATATTTCCATTATATATACATCACTGTATCTCTGTAATATTTTTCCATTGAATTAGAGTCTGATTCAAAAATGTATTGAATTTTGATGCGTCTGAAAATATATTTCTAAATTATGAAAGTATCATTGTAATTTCACAAAATATACTAATAATGCATAGGGTGTATTAAAGAATTTTGGAAAACAATCTCTTTATTTGAATATTCTATTGAACATTTTTGTAATTGAACTTACTCTTAAGGCCCATTATTTTAGGCCCATTAGTTTCACTATAAATGTATCAATTTTATCCCTACCTCATGTCTTCTTGATTGAAGGAGCAACGGTACATCCTTCTGTTACGGTTTCATCGCATATGCTTTGTTCCTCTTTGATTTGCGGTGAGTCCTTTTTCTTTCTTCTTGTTTTGCTTGCATCTCCTGCTTTCTTGGTTAGCTTTTTCTTTCATAAATATTGAAGAATCTAAACCAAATGCAAAAAGACAAGCTTAACTGTAATTTTATTTATGTCTAATTGAGATATGATTTGGATCTCAATGATTTCTTGCTCATAAGATTTATGGATGTTTAGATCTGAAATATATTATGAAACATGTTCATAAATAATATGATTTCATTGTATGAATTTATAAATAATGGATGAAAAAAATTAAAATATGATGGAACTTATTTTATCAAATCCTTCAATTTTTATTTGATATGATATATAATATATGCAGTTGGGAGTGAAAATATTACATTTACTAGTGGGTTCGGTTTGGATCGGTTTTAACGCAAAAACTCATCCGATTCAAAGATTAATTCACTTAAGGTTCAGTTTGGTTTTGGAGGATATATTTAAAATTCACTTAAGGTTCGGTTCGATTTTGGAGGATATATTTAAAAAAATCCAATCTGATCCGATTCAATTTTATGCGGTTTAATTTGGATCGGTTTTTGGATATCCAAATTACACATTATATTTTTTATTAATATTATAAAACTACTAATAAATCATATATTTGATATAATATATAACATATAGTATATTAAAAGTTAATATTACAAAATGAGAGTGATTGATTATGCTTGAAATAATAAAAATAAATAGATTATACCAAACTAATAAATATTATTAAAAAAATTATTATCATCTAATAATAAATTCACATAACATGTCATACTAATAAAAAGTAAATAAGTATCAAAATATATTTATGCGGTTTAGTTTGGATCGGTTTTGAAAAATTCATCCGAAATTCAATCCGAACCGATCGGTTTTCATAAAATAACATCCAAACACAATCAATAACTTTCGGTTTTTTATGATTTTTAGTTTTTTAGATCAGTTTTCGATTTTTTATTTGGATTGGTTTGGATTTGAACACCCCTAACATCTAAGATAAATTTTTAAGATTTGATTCTGGACTATGATTTATTATAAATTTGTTTTCTGATGATTTTTTTTTAAAATTCTGATCTTAACTTAAAAGCTTATTTAAAAGCATGTTTTATTGAGAATTTAACCTTTCACTCTCAAAATTAAATCAGACACAGTCACATATTTTAATAATTTCAAAACTGTCCATAGACAAAGTTAGGTCAAAAACTGTAAATTAAATTTGCGGTAGTGCATTATAAATTTCTGATAATAAACCAAATTCTTGATAGTAAATTTTATCGGAAATTTCAAAATTTCTGATAAAAACTCATATTTTTAAAAATTATAATAAAAAGTAAGAGTTTCTATATGAGCTTTTGAAATTTCCAATATTTACTCAAACTTTATGAAACTTATAACATTGAGTAAGGAAATATCAATTAAATCATGTATATTATGGGGTGCCAGTATAACACGAAGTGTAACAGATTAAATTCTCTGTTTCACAGTTAATTTTACCTATTTTTTAGATAGACAACAAAACTATTTATATATATATATATATATATATATATATATATATATATATATATATATATATATATATATATATATATATATATATATATATATATATATATATATATATATATATATATATATATATATATATATATATATATATATATATATATATATATATATATATATATATATATATATATATATATATATATATATATATCGACTTATAAAACTTTATAAATTTTTTCAATAGTTTAAATCTTAGTTATTTAATTAAATATATTTATAAAATCCTAAATATAATTTTTTTATTAAATATGCTAGGTTAGTCCACACCTTAGATCTGTTTAATTTATTTTCATCTCTCTATGTAATGGAATAAACCATCAATGAAAAAGTATCCAAACAATTAGGTATATATTTTGTATGCTATCCTATTTCCATTCAACTATGCTTCGTTCCCTTTCATCGGTTCAAACATAATCTTAATACTTTGTCATTAAAAGGAAATTTATGCAGGAAATTTATGCTTTTAACTTATAGATATTAGTTGTAGATCATATCATACTATAATTCATGCCGTTTAAATATTTTGAATCTGTAATACAAAATGGTAGAAATATAAAAGAGAATGTAAACCATTGAATGTAAGTTGGGTAGTTGAAGTGAAGGAAAGTCTTAAAAGTTTTATAAGTTGATGTGATAATTTTAACAAACAACGATAAGATCTGCGATATACAGAACACAATGTTGGACGTGTAATAGAGATGGAGGTGTCACGTTTAATGTATGATAAGACTAGAACAAATAAGATTAAAAATGATACTATAGATTTTGTTGTAAAGAGAGTAGATTAAATTTATAAGGAAAGAAAGATTTTGAGATTAATGTATTGGATAGAAATATGAACTTGAATAGAATATTATGGTGAAATTTGACCATGTAGCCGAACTCACTGAGTGATAGTTGTAAGACTGACAATGTTGTATGAGACAAAATATTGAACGGTAAAAAATAATATGAAAATAAACTGAATGAAAAATGAGAATGTTAGTTGTAAGACTGACAATATTGTATGAGACAAAATATTGAACGGGAAAAAATAATATGAAAATAAACTGAATGAAAAATGAGAATGTTGCGTTAGATGTGTTAAAATTAGACATATTAAATTAGAAGTTATAATATTAAAAAGTATTTAATATTATCATTTATAGTAGAAAAGATAGTGAAAACTATATTTAGATGGTTTGAGGGTTGTCAAAGTGCTAGTGGTAGAGTAAAACATAGAAAAATTATAAAAAAAGATATGAAAAAATAACTGAAATAAATGAGTTGAAAAGAAGAATGAATTTTTATACAATATTATAATTATTATCTTAGTACAATAAAATACGACTACTCTAACATCTATCTTTATGATATCCGATAAAAGAGTGTTTATCCCCTTCCAATTAATAGATTTGTGAGACATGATTAAAATAAAATGAAAAGAAAAAAATAATAACGTCTTGATTTTTGTTCCTCCGGTTCGTATGTCACCCCTATTCATAGGCATCACCACCACCATTTTTTGTTCCTCCTGTTCCTATGTCACCGCTAGTCATAGGCATCACCACCACCATTTTTTGTTCCTCCTGTTCCTATGTCACCGCTAGTCATAGGCATCACCACCACCATTGCTAGCACAATCTTCGCTTTCGGCACCTTTAAAATACTTTTAATAAATACATCAAAATAGAAATAAATGTATGTATTATTAAAAATATTTACTTATATTCAATGTATTGAAAATTGAAATAATCAATTTATTTACTGAATGTTTTTTTTTATTTGAAAATTTTAAAAAGTGTTTTTAGAGTATTCATTTTATTAAAAAATATTTAATGCAAGTAGTATTTCTAATATATGAAATGAGATACAATTTTTATGTGTTTTCTTTTTTTTTAGTATTTTTTAATAAAAATATGATCAATATATTTATTTATTGTTTAATAAATGAAAATAGAAGAAAATTATATCTGTAAGAAAAAACTATATATTTGTTATATTTTTATCGAAAAATAATAAAAATTATATTTAAAAAATTGTATCTAAGTTTTTTCTTATAAAAAATTTAAAAAATTAATTGCATTTAGTTAAAGTTTGTAATTAACATTAATTTTCTTTTAATCGTGACAAAAGAAAGAAGTATTTAATTAACAGATCACATATTTACATTATTTGGAAGTGCCTCTCGTATTTTCCTTTTGTAATGTGAATTGCTTGTAGTTAAAGTGCGGTGGAACAAAACATGAAAAGTATGCTTTAGAGTTGTTGGATGGTAGAGATATGATGATATGGTCAAAAGAGACAACTTCCAAATCTTGTGATAAAAACTCATCACATTGTAGTCTTCCAAATCAAGAGCACCATGCTCCCATGCTTTTGAATTCTAGTCCTAAAAATTCAAAGGTATGTATACATATTTACTTTTCAACTTATCAATTAGTTTTTACTATAAAAGAATATGATAATGTATTTTAAATATGAATAATACTATATAATAAAAATTATTCGAATAAGAAAGACAAAAATATATACTTGTTATTCAAATGACAAAAATGTATATTTGTCATATTTAACAAAAAAAAACTTGCCAAATATTTACTAGAAGAGTATAATTTTGTGCTCATTTAAGCGTCAAATTTCTATTTAATTTTTACGTGATATCTCTCTCTATGTTTGAATTGATACGCATGCATCGTTAAAATATTTAATGTCGTATTTTTTATATTTATTTATTTAAAAACATATTTAAATTTAAAAGATATTTTTAAAGTCTGTTTGAGATGATTTTTGAAAAGTTTTGGAGAAAAAGACTTTAAAGATCTGCGTTTATATCTTGAAACATGTTTGATATTTTTAAAAAGTTTAAAAAATAATAAACTATGTTAACATATAAAATCATATTGTTTTTTATACTTTAAAAAATATCAAACACATTTTTAGATGTAAATGCGGCTCTCTAAAGCATTTCTTTCTAAAATTTTCAAAAACCAACTCTCAAACGAACCCTTAATCTTCTTAATAATATATACATGTAATCAAAATTGAACCAAATCAATTGGTTCGACCGATTCAATCAAACACGTGTTTGTTCCATTTGATGGTAGAAACTGTCATGTCATAGAACCAAAATAAAAACTAGAAAGAGAACATGAGGTTGAAACGAAAGGAAGAATTTAATGATTTGTATAAAAATAATCAGGAGCAGGAGAGTGCTATGATATTTTTCATTGGAAAGTATGAAGGCTATTAATTGAAAAATTTAAAAGTTGGATAATGTGTTTTTCATTTGAAAGATGCATATTGAAGGTTGTAAGTGATTTATTTATTACGATGTGTGATGGAGCAATATTAGATGAATCAACATGACTTGTACTTAATTTTATGCGATTAAGATTAGACGTATGATAGAGTTTGCAAAGAGATTTTGTGAAAAATCCTGTAGAAGAAAGAGGTTAGGATTATCTATATTCGAACTATATGGGATATGTATGAGAAACTATCGACTATTGTGCAGACACAAGGTGGAAAGATGAATAATTTCCCATAACAATAAGATTTTACCAAGGTTCAACCATCCTTTTTTTTATATTTTGATTTTGGATTTACTCACGGAACACGTCAAGAGCTAACACCGAGATGTATGCTTTTTGAATATGATATATTCTTAATTGGAAAGTTGGTGGATGATTTGAATAAAAGGTTGCAGACTTTGAGACGAGACTTAAAAGCATATTATATTTTTCAATTAATGATGTATCAAATACATATCGTATCCGATACTCATATCTTGTCTGTACTTCATTGCTGCGACAAAGCGCAACATGCGTAATAATGGAAAACCCAAAAATCTTCAACGCAAATGTTTTTTAAAATCTTGCATGTTGATACAAGTGCTAACAATACTCTCTGTAATTGTTGAGGAGTCCAGGGAGTGCCAGAAGTATCATTGGAATAAATGTCTATGATAGAAGAGACCTTGACGTCACATATCCATCCAAAATCTTAAGATTTTGTTTGCGAGTTTGGAGGGGAGGGGAGGGGAAGACTTCTGGAAACGAATTTTTAAAAAAATATAAGAAAATATTTGATATTTTTTGAAAAAATGATTTTGTATAGAATGATAAAAGAATGTTTATCATTATTATATTTTTAATTTTTAGAATACTATAATAACATAAAAGATATTTGGAAAATTAATGTAAGCCCTCCAAAACTCTCCTTCAATACAAATTTTGAGTTCTCCAAAATTAGGGGGTTTTTGGTGTTATAAATAAAAGTTAACCCTTCAAAACCCTTGTAACCAAAATCTTTCTATTCTTTCTACCAAATTCTTCATATTTTTCAAAATCCTCCCCTCCAAACTCGCAAACAAAACATAATGCATTAGAGGTATGGGTCCTTTCTCTTATATATCTATTATTTCCTCAATTTCTAGTCAATGTGAAACTTTTAACCACTTACACTTGAATCCCAATAATTCCCTCCACAAGTGTGAGTCACCACATCACTAGCCTTGATCCACACTAGAATCTACTTCCGCTCCTCCATTGAGTCAACTAGGGTTATGATACCACTTGTTAGGTAGTAGCCCGAGGAGCGCCGGAAATGTAAATGGGTTAAATGTCCGAGGTCCAAGAGACCTTAACGTCACATATCCGTCAAAAACCTTAAGGCAGTAGGGGTATTAGTCATTTATCTTATATATTTAATATATTTAATATTTTCACCATTTTTAATCGATGTGAAATTTTTAATCACTCACACTTGAATCTAATACTAACACATATTTTTAAATATTTTTTTTTAGCTAAAGCTTATATAGATTCTATCAAATTTATCCAGACCTCTTTATTTAGTGATTCATATGAATTTCAATCAAAATAAAAAATAATACAATAGAGTGTGTTGTTAATCGTATTCATGTTGATTATAAGTAAGTGTTTTTCCCCATAGATTTTACTAAATATTTTTTCAACTCAAGATCCTAGTAGATATGTCCACTTTATATAGTTTTCATGCTTATGAATAATTACTTACTGTAAGTTGAAATTATTTGTTGAAATGCAATGGAGATGAAATTTAACCTGAGGAATAACTTTTGATAACTATCATAGAGACTCAATCAAAACTTGATATAACTATCTAAGATATTGTATAGGTTGTTAAATAGTTTTTACGTATATCGGAGTCAAATTTTTTATGTTTTATTTATTTATTTCAGAAGAAATATGGTATTGATAATACCAAAGATCAAAAAAGAAAACCACCTTCTCCTGTCTTATGTTCAATACCATCATATGAAAAAAAGACTAAATATGATTCGTGTCCTATTTCTAGACAAGATTATTCTCACCTAAGCGACGTCGAAGATTTTGCGAAGCAACCAAATTATCTTATGAACGGAGAGAGTTTTTATATTCATGCTAGAGATTTAATAGATAATAGTTATTCTTATGATATGGCGACATCAATCAAAGAGAAATTAAAAGAAGAAGACATGGAATTCGTTGACTCTCGGAAGAAATTTTTACCTCCTAGGAGTAACCATCTTCCAAGACCATTTATTCCCATTGGACCTAGGTTTCAAGCTGAAGTTCCTAAATGGGAGGTCTCAACCAACATAAACCAATATGATAATGATGATTGTTTGAAGTGGTTAGGCACCCAAATTTGGCCAATACCTTGTTTATCTAGAAATAATGCAAAAAGTTTTGGAAAAGGTAGGCCCGACTCAAGCTCGTGTGAGAACCTTGAAATCGGTCGAATGTGTTAAAAAACCTGGTGAAGTTAGAGAGTGCTTTAAATAGAATGTTAATGACACTTTCTCAAGTTGGAAATTTGATAACAAGAAAGAAAATGTGTCAAAATCATGGACAATGGAAGAGGAGAAAAAATTTGAATCTTAGTAAAATTGAATTTATTATCAAGCGACACAATTTTGGAAGCTCACCATGGAGTACTTTCCATCCAAATATATTGAGTGCATGATGAATTACTATTATAATGTATACATCACTACATGCATGAGTATAGAAGAGAAGATCTCCCTTTAGCATAGTTGATGGTGAATCAAAATGATAACTATGAGATGGAAGGTGCATGTTCATTTAAAGGCATGACTATGATTTCAATGGCCAAAAATTGGAAAATTGCAATATTGAAGATGTTAGGAGCTCGATATCTAGCTCACACATCTTCAATTTCAATATCATTTAGAAGATATAGTCCTTCAATGTGCTCTAAATTCTTAAAAGTTAAGTCTCTATAGTTATGCATAAATGATATGTTAAATTTTTTAAAGAAAAGTTTATACAAATTTTGTACATAAATTTATTGTTGGAAATTCTATTTTTATTGTAGTTTGTTCTTAGTCATCTTATTGCATTATTTAATTTGAGTTGTTTTATTGCAGTCTCTAACAATTTTACTATGTTGGATTTGAATGGTGAGTTTGGTCTCACACTATTTAGAGTTATAACCTATGTAGTTTTAATAAATCTTAGTGTGTTCATTATCTTCCAAGTTGGTTGTTTAGAATTGAATTAGTTATGACCTATAATTTTAAGATATTACCATAAGCTATTCTAGGTCTCTTGTTGGACTGTCTGTATTATGCATGCCTTCAGAGAATTTAACTTACCATTTCCAATGTTGATTATGGAACCTCTATTTTCTAGTGTTTTTAAGTTAATACCATTTTATAAATACTAGAAATTTTGAAAAGTATAGGTTGTTACTAGAAATTTCAGGAGATTGTCAAATATTTTTCATAACTTTCCATTTTTTTATCGTGACGGATGAGAGATTGTCAGAATAGTATCAATAAGTATCAATAAGTTTTGAAATTTTCGGAAATTTTGAAATTTTCAGTATAGTATCAATAAGTTTTTCCTTTGATTTTTCTCGAACAACTGAATCGATAAAAATGCTATCTGACTAAAATATGTATATAATAACTGTCATACATACAAGAATACAAAACAAACTAGGATGACTTTCTAACTTCGTCTTCCCAGTGACTAAAGCGACCCACATATGCTAATTCCCATGTTTTTGCATCATCAATACAATTCTGTCTCCAATAGTCTGTGACGGAAGGCAATGAGCTATCTGATTTCAATTTCATCTGAACCCAATGATTGTTGTTGACAAAACCAACAACAATGATTTTATGTTTGCTCGTATACATAGGTGGAGTTAAGGCAAGAGGAAAAAATGTGATGTTAAGTCTCATGGAATGAGAAATAAATATGACATTGTATCTAGAAGCAATAGGGTAAAACCCATATCAAGATTCGTCATCCATTAATCCATATCCTACACCCAAGTGATATACTCGTAAGACATTTCTAATTGTAGAGAAAATGTCATAGAACAACTTCGAAAACAATTGAGAGTATTGATGAACTTGAGCATCTAACTACGTTCATATCAAATGCCATGACTCTTCGCTCCATCCAAGTAAAGATGCAATAGAATAGAAACCACAATTCCCATTGTCACAAACATCAATAATGTCATCGATGTATGGTGCAAAAAGGCAGGAAATTGTGACAAGTAAAGATCTCTTGAAGAAATTAGCATACTTGAAGGTTGACTTCCAATTGGTTTTGTGCATGATCTCTTTGTAGTTTGACTCCCCTGCTATCCCTCAGCATACTCCCCCTGACTAGGATCACAATGCACCTCACTCTCTTGACCCTTCCTACTATTCTTAACTTCTCTCTTTGGCTTGTATTCACCGATGATGGACACATAGAAGTTGTGGATGAATGTGTTAGTTCCCAAACCTTTTTCTTTAACACCCTCTGCACTACAATATCCAATGTACTGAAATATGTCTTAAACTCTTCACACTATTCTTCTAAATTCCTTTTTGTACCACTCTCATCATGACTGATCTCATGCTTTGCAATGTGCAATTTCGTCCAAAATAGATGAATTGAGTCTAAAGGAACAAGATTTCCTAGTACTTGGAAACCGACAAGCTGACACACACACGGTAACCTGTGTGTTATTCTAATGAAACAACTTTTGGTGTAAGCTCTAGAGGCCAATACTTTGGATACTTGTATCGAATTATTTATTAATAATAAAAGGCATTTCTTTATTATGTTTGCTTTTCCAAAATAATAAAGTCCCTAGAATAGTTCGTTTGTTTAATAAAATATTAAGTGTGACTTAATCATGAGATCCCATTAAACATAAGAACACTATTCTTAAAGTATATGTAGTTGAGTTTTATTGCAAAGTGGGATAACATTAAAACATTGAGATTATTATGAAGATAGACTGGTGATCACACCTCATGGATCATGGATAAGGAGTTATCAAGTCTTGACATAAGTATGAATATTAGGAGTAATATTTAAAATGTTATGCAAGATGTCATAAGTTATTCTCATGGTGATAATGGTGTATACCATCCTTCGACCTGAAACTACTATGGACCCTAGATGTAGAGTTAAGTACTTTATTGTTGATCAAACGTTAGTCGTAACTGGATGACCATAAAGACAGTTGATGGGTGCTTCTCAAAGCACCTGAGGGACATGAGTGACCTAGATGGAATTTGTCTATCCTGCATAACAGGATAGATGTCTAAGGGTCCAATAATGAACTGGACAAGAGTGACACAACTTATACCTTGTGTTCAATATAGTCATAAGAGAAAAAGGGTAATTGTACAAACAAATATTATTACAGAAAGGTTTTGTCAGATCACATGATATTTTTATGACTTGGGTAGTAGTGATATATTGCTAGATACCACTCACTGTTTATTATGTTAAATGTGTGATTTAATATAATTGCCAACATCATGAAAACCTACAAGGTCACACACATAAGGACATGTTGATGAGAGATAAAGTAAATAAGGAACACCGTAAGGTATGGTGCACTTAAGTGAAATATGTTAGACGATGTGATCGATCTAGAAGGGGGATTGAATAAATCGTTTAAAATAATTTATGCTTTTTAAAATTGTTTTTCAGAAAAATATGCAAAAGCTTCCTAGAATCTCCAATCGTCTAAACGATCCTCTATTGAAAAGATCGGATATGCGTAATCGTATAAGATATAATGGCAAAGTAAGAATTAATGTGTTTTACTCAATTGATCAATCACATATACACCTTCAATGAATATTAATTACTTTCAATGAGTTGAATGAGATAAGAATAAGCATAATGAATAATTTGTGGATTAGTCAATTTGTCAAACACCTTGTGAGCAAAGCACCTTAGGTTTGATTTTACTAAGACGTAGTGGTAAGTTTTCTTAGGTATCAATCAAAAGGATTGTTACCAATGTTTTGAAATGAGCTCAACACACTACAATTCAATAAATGCATATTTGACAAATTAATTTTCGCACAGTATAGTAATCAAGTATAGAGATAAAGAAAAAACAGAAGAACACACGATTTGTTAAGACAGTTTCCCTTGCCGTCCTCGCGTAGGATACATCTGCCCCCAATTCTAGAATCTAGAATTGAGATATTTGATATTAAGTTGCAAACGATACAAGAGAAGAGATAGTTCACAATACAAACAAACCAATGATGCTGATGTAACTGTCTTCTTCCCTTTCTTTGGTTTGAGCAAAACCAAGTGCCAAATTATTCGAACAAACCTCCGATTACCGCTACTTGATTAAGCAAACCCACCGTTTCTTAATCATTTCACTCGGCTGATTTCGATCACAAGCAATTTGACCCCAAATCAATCTTCACAATCCTTCGGTTACCGCTACCTTATTAAGCAAACCCACCGTTTCTTAATCCTTTCACTCGGCTGAATTCAATGAAGCAAAGACTTTTGCAAAAACCCCCGCACCAATAGGAATCTTGGAGGAGAAAATCCAAATGATTTTATTTAAGAACATCCCACAATTGCTCAACCCAAATCTGAATTGAATTCTTGATTTGAATGTTATCACCACAACAATTTTCTTGAATCAACAACCATGATTATGTGTAGATGTTGATTTTTGAGAAGAGATGATGAAGATGATGAGCACTATGTGTATCTTTCACTAGTTCTTGTTGACTTCAAATAATGATGCATAATGAATATATATATATATATATATATATATATATATATATATATATATATATATATATATATATATATATATATATATATATATATATATATATATATATATATATATATATATATATATATATATATATATATATATATATATATATATATATATATATATATATATATATATATATATATATATATATATATGTTATCTAATAGCCAAGACCCACAATCATAGAAGAAAATCAGATGAGGCCAGCGAGCGGTCGACTCAACCAGAAGTAGGGGTCAGCGCGACACAACCCGCAGCCAGAGAAAAAACTATTTTAAAGTGCAATGTGTCGACCACTTCAAGACTTGCGTCAATTCAAACTTTGAATATTTTGATTCCCAGGTTGAGTCGACCAGAAGGGTCGACGTGATACATCCAGCAGTCAGAGAGAAATCCATTATGAAGTACAGTGCGTCGACCACTTTAGGATTTGCATTGACGCAAACTTTGAATGTTTTGATTTCTAGTTTGAGTTGACCGAAAGGGTCGACCTGACACATCCAGGGCTTGATTGAAGATGATGAGTCGACCGCACACATCTTTGAGTTGACGCACAAATTGAATTTTCTCAAAAATAAGTGTTTCTGGAGATCTTCATTTCAATCATTCCATTGCAAGATTGTTCACAGGACCAACCCAAATAAAGAGAAATTAATAATCCTT